AGCGTTGATAGTAAAATGACAGTGAAAATGCAGCAGCAACACCGACAATGTAAACAACAGTAAATGACAAGAATATATTAGACATTAATGGTAAATGAATGGGGACTGAAATGTGGAATGATCTCTCCCACACCGCAAAAACCTCAGGAGAAAAGTGGCAATCTGACAATTAAGAAGACACTTTTTTAACTTTGTATTCATAGTAATGTCAATTCATAGGATTCGACTACGAAATTTTTTTCAGTTGGATCACTCCAAAGCTAGTAAGCTATAATTAATAATAAAATGAAGTGCATCGTCAATGAATTTATAGTTACTGAGTGATGCAGAGAGAGAGAATTTAGAATATGCAGAGAAACTTTAGAGCAGTGAAATATAATTGAATCCCCAATAATTGTCTAATTATTCAAAAACACTAGTCCTGTTTATACACAAAATTTCTAACGAAATGGCAAGTAGTAAATTAAGAAAAAGAAAAGTTTTCTATCTTATAACTAACACAAATCAAAATTCAAGAAGATAAATCAGAATCTATTTCTTATTTTTATGTAGGGGTGGACAAAATGTCTAGATCAAACCAAACCAAAATAGGACCATTCGGTTCGGCTCTTCAAAAAAAATTAATGATTTTGGTTCTTCGAACCAAGAACCATTTGGTTTTGATTCTGGTTCGGTTCTGGTTCTAGAACCAAAACCAAAACAGAACAGAACCAAACTTGATTTTTAATTTTAATTTTCTATATACAATAATTAGTGGAAACCTTAATTTTGTAATCATTGTAGACAGCTCATTAATTGGATACAACTCATTAATCGGTTCTAGATCATTGGAGGCCACATTAATTGTGTACACCCTAATTTTCTATTCCTTGGAATAATTTCTCGTTCGCTCATTTTTAATTTACACAAAATCGCGACACGCCTGCACCGTATCTCATTACATCAATAGAGGATACTCTTTCAAGATCGAAAAATGGAATTGGTCAATCACTTAAAAAAAACCTTTAAACTATTTTTTCACTCTGATTGTTTGATGAATTATTTGTGTTCTTCACAAATAGGAAAAAATCCAACAAACATTCATGGAATATTAAACGGTTAATGGTTGCCTGTAAAAGTGGACCATTAAATTTTTGCATAATTCATCCTTATTGTGGGGGTACGATGTCAAAACTGATGCAATTGATTTAGTGAATCATTGTTATTACTTATTAGACAATCTTTTGTATGCGAATGAATTTTTTTTCTACATTCAAATTATAAATATATTTTATTTGTTAGTTTGGACTTCTGTGATCTTGATGATTGATAATTTGAACTTGCTGTATATTTGATATTTATTTTTATTTAGGTATGTATTACTAACTTCAGGATATGGTGCAAGCCTGCAAAATTTGAAAAATAAAACTAGAACCAAACCAAACCAAACCAGAGCCGAATGGTTAGTTTCAATTTGGTTCCATATCTTAAAAAAACCCATTTGGATCTATTATCAAAAAAACCACTGGTTCAAGGTTCAGTTCGGTTCTTTTGAAACCAGAACCAAATAAAATCACGTCCACCCCATTTTTATGAATAAATAAGTGCGTTTTTTCGGCGAGTCTTCTATGAAATCTCCGTAACTAAGTTTTGCTGATTGGACTAATCAATTCAACCCTGTTGCTAAAGGGACTTCAATCATTCAAAGAATTATCATATTATAAGAAAGCTAACTAATCTAATTTTTTTAACGAAAAGAAAAAAGCAGGCCATACTATTTTGAAAGTAGACAATTGTATTTTCATACTGACTAATGTCCGCAAGTTATTGTTGGAATTTTGTATTGGAAATTGGTTGTAATCAATTGAAATGATTTAAGTGGAAATTCCTTGTTTGGTTAATGAGAAATTAAGCCAAACTTAAACCACTTAATACTTGAAATTATTGAAATTGAGTAGAATATTGTGGAATATTCCAGAGAATGTAGATGAAAAGATGTGTCTTTTCATATGGATCGTGACTCTTGGAGAGCATGACTTTTGGTATGAGTA